CAATGGTGGTCTGCCGTAAGTTTTATGAAGGAAAAAGAAAAACTTCTTTAATCTCTTTAATTAAAATTATATTTCCCAAAGTTAAGTAGCTTACCTAAACGATGATATTCCAGAATCTCTTGCAATTACTTTCTTCAATATTTCAGCTGCTGATAATTCTGTAATACCGAATGGCCCATGTCGTCCCTGAAGTTCGTACAAAACTATAGCGAACGAATATACGTCCCCTCTTTGGAAATCACGAGCAGTTGGCTCCCCGAGACGAGTAGATCGTAATAATTCAGGCGCTTTATATAATAATCCTATGGAAATGAATGAAATTAATATAAATTTATCTTTGCTAGCGTTATGATGAATATTAATGAATTGGCTGCGATTTATATATTTCTCACTTTACATCATAAAAGATTACAAAAGGAGGACTTAATAAAACTGTTAAAATTGAAAAATTGAATATACGATATGGAATAGAGTGTTAATATTTTCTCGAGTTTACCATGATATTTCTTTATGACGTCAGAGGGATCGCATTCCGCATCTCGCTTGAATTCGTGGAGGCCGAAATCTGCCAGTTTTACGACCCAACGCGAATCCACGAGACAGTTTGATGTGCTGAGCGATCCATGGTATTTTATGACTGACTCGTGAAGATAAATCATTCCCTAGGAAGATATCATTCAATTTATGTTTTGGAAATGATGGTATTTTGATACGCAACACAAATCTCATATAGATATAAGGATGCAGGAGGAGACTATTTGCTTATTTATTATGAAAATACTGCTTTTGTTCGGTAATAAAATATTGGAATAATTAAATTCATATATATTGAATGTTTTTAATATACAAAAAGTTTAAAGCAAATTATGTTATTAACTAGAAAATAATTTTTTATGAAAAAATAAACGAAATATATTATTTTGTGTAATTGCGTAATTTTCGATTACATTTCATTATTTATGTTTGTTTATATTTGTTTATAAGACATTTCTTTATGAAAAAAGCCGAGAATAAAAATTAAAGTCGTTAAAACAAAAAGTACTTCTGTGAGTAATAATAGTAAAACTATGAAAGTTTCAAACAACGTACTCCTATTCGGAGTTCAAAAGTTTGCGACTGGAGGAAGTGTGGACAAGTTTCAAAATTGCTTTTCTCCTGTCACGGATGTTTCATCCAGTCTGTTATACGGAGGAAATTTAATCATATTCTAGCAAAAGAAAAAAAATATTTTCTATCGACTAGAGAACTGAATACAAAAAGCTAAATCTAATTTAAAAATAAAATTGTTAACTTACTCTAATAATATCTCCGACGAGAGACGCCATAAACATATTGTCGAGTTTTATGTCTTCGTTCTCCAGTATATCCTGGAAGAAAAACATTTCTCTGCTAAGAGAATCATCAGAAATCCGAAATTATTGGAATTAACATAATTTGATAATATCTGGATATTTAATCGATATTTAAACATACTAATTACATTAATTATAAAAATTACCGACCTTAAGACTACCACGTGCACAATATTCGACGATGACGCATATATTAGGCGGATCGGTGCATGCACCAATAAACGAATTCAAGTTATCATGTCTTAAATCGCGAATCTGAAAATATATTGCCTTAATAACAAGCAAGATTTTACAATATTAATAACAGTTATTATACTATAATTACAAAATTAAATTAAAATTATTGGTCTTGTAAACATTACCATTTTCAGTTCTTTTTTCATTTCTCGCGTGATCTCAATCGATTTCTTCCTGATTTTTTTAATAGCAAAAATTCGCCCTTTGTATGTGCCAATTTGCGTATATATTGTAGAATATCGAAAGTCCTCTGGATTAGAACTTAGTGAAACTTGACTAGTTCGCACTATCGTTGATGACTTTACAAAAAAAAAAAATATACGTATTATATTGGAGTATTTTAATTATAATTATAAATATTATAAGTTTATTCTATATTAATACGACTTTGTAACAAGAATAATAATACAATTATAAATGTACAAAAAGATTTATTTATAATTTATGACTCGTTAAAAGACTCATTATAATTTTACACCTAAAAATTTGATGAAACTTATGAGTGAAATAAATTTTATGCAAATATAAATGATTTTAATCACTGTATACCTTGTGGACTAATTAAAAATTATAGAAAGAAAATATAAAAAGAATGAAATTTCAGAAATGAAAATATTTCTGAGAATATCCGAATGGCAGCGTTATGACTCGTAAGCAATTACCTTAGAATTGCATTTGGCGGGCGTCTCGTTGGCTGCTTCATCCTTTTGCTCCTTGATCTGGATGTCTTTGTAGTTGACTTTCCACAGTAAACTGTCTAACTCTTGTTCATATTTCCAATTTCTATAAAGAATCAAAGCGACTGCTGCGATAATAAGTAGCAACGCGCCGGCGATGCCTCCAACAATTTCGCCGGTATGAGCTGTAAAACAGATATCAAATGATTATTAAAATGAGGCAGTTTACATTATTTGAATATCAAATTAAATAATTTTATTTAAAATTACAAGATAATATTTTTATGTATATAATAGATAAAATACGTATTAATAAAAAATATTTATGCCAATTCTTAAAATGTAAAAAGAAAACATTGCCGTGTATTTTTAAAGATATTAATATGAGAGTAATTAAATTCGAGATATCTTACAATTGCATTTTTCACCATGGTATCCGCAATAAGGTTCTGCAACCGGTGGTCCATCTCCTATCCACGATATCTTCTTAGTTAATCGAAGTTTCTAGTAAATAATAAGTTAATTTTTAAAGCAATTTAAATTACAGTTATTAATATTGTTAGAAAATTTAGGAATGAAGAAATGCAAAATAATATGGATGCATTTTCTTCTCGTTTTCGAGTTATAAATGAGAAATTGGTTATTATTCCAAAAATTACCACGAGAATAATAATTCGCTTACGGGCAAGTTTGTTCCTTGCTCTTTTCCAACGAAATATCCAATTGGATAAAGTCCATAGCCTCTCGAGGATTGATTGTTCAACGCGATCAATGTGTAATTGCCCTCAGCATCGCCATTCTCATCCATGTATACCATGTACCTACAGAATTGATTAGGCACGTAATATGCGAATACCGTTATGCTCATTCAATTGATTAGATAGAATAGCTGTGCATCCCGATATAACTCTGTATTTGCAATTACAATTGAAAAAAAAAAAAGGTTTGGTCAATGTCATATTATACATAATTTTACGAATTATAAAATAATGCTAAGAGATATTAATAATAATTAAAAGTAAATTGTTTAATATTTATCATAATTATTTCCGTACAAATGTAACATTTATCATTTATTAATAAACTACGTACAAATATAACTTTTATTTATAACAAAAAAGGAACAAGTATTAATTCAAAGTGTAATCTTAATCAGGCGACAGGGGATGCCCGATGCAAATAAGATTTTGCCCGTGAAGAAAAAGATCGCAAGATAATAATACTGCCTTAATCGTCAACTATTAAACGTGGCGATCGTGGATGATAAATCGCTTAGCTTTCGACTTGGAAACAGTAATTACTTTGCCGAAAATACACCACGCGAGCACGCGTAAGCTCTTCCTCCTTCTCCCTTCCCGAGTTCCCCTCTTTTTCGGTCGGCACTTTCGGCCGAGAAATTATCAGGTGACGTTCCTCTTCCGAACGAAAGTGCTCGATGCATTTGCATGTTATAAAACATTTATGATGCACGACGAACGATCGAGCTTGCGCCTTTGTTTTGTTACTTCCTTACGTACATACCCCATTGCGCTTCGATAATGAACCCCGTGTAATGCCGACACCATCTCCCGGCCGTTTCGGGGGTCCCGCTTCTCGTCGAGGGCAGCCAACAGCGATCTCTCGTAAAGGTGCACCGCATCGTACAAATAGGCTGTCTCCGGCACAATCTGCCTTATAACACAAAGTAACGATTACGCCTCCGGGATTGGGGGTGAGTGCGGCGGGAAGGCGCGCTCTGTGCGATTTCTACGGAAGATATCGCGTCCTGAATTACACGAATTGATACACGAGTCATCTTTTGCAAGAGAAAAAGAAAAGATAATGATGGGGGCGAACGAGTGTGATAATTTCGGGGATGGTTCGCCACACGTAGAGCGGCGTTGTTTATAATTCCGTTCCGAAGTGCAACGCGATGGTACGTGAATTATTATGCGCAATTTTCGAGTTCGAGCTTTGAGTAACTAAACTACACGACGATACGATGATTAAAGTAAAATGTTATAATGTTAATTAAATTTTTGTGGTTTTTATAGTTTTTTTTCCGCAAATGAGTCACTTTCAAAATAGCTCAGAGAAGGATATTCTACAACGATATAATTATTGACAGCGTAAAATTTTACGAAGAGAGAAAAATTGAAAACAAAGTGGATGATGCCAACCGAAATAAAAGTTTTTGAAGCTGAAAGAAGTTCCGAAGTTCTCGAAATCCAAACTTCGTAATGCGATATCTTTAAGTCTAGCAAGATAGGAACGTATCTCTCTCTCTATAATTTTCATCATCTCTAGTAGTCACCTGAACTACTCCTCCAATGTTGGCTAACGGGTTTGTAAAATTGAATGGCGGCTTCTGTCTGTATTCGTTGATGAGTTTAGTGAAATTCATGATGTTGATCGGAGCGGATGCAACTATGCTGAAGTAACTGCGGTACGCGTTCACGATTGACAGGTCCGTCTCCTTTTGCCACAATCCACGAAGATACTTGTCCGGACGTTTCTCATCGTATTGTTCGATGTCAACGCCGACCACCCAATATTCGCCTGCGACGTAAAATAGTTAGACGATCTCATTTGAGAAAGATAAACGAGCGATGTGTGAGCGAGGGAAGGGGTAGAATTAAAAGAGAACTACTATAGAATTGTAAAATTATGTAAAAGAATATGGTACGAGGAAAGACTTACGATATGTTAATAATTAGTAGCAATAAAAATGAATTAATAGAAAACGACGATCTCGGTTAGTCTTACTTTTTTTAACTAGAGATTATTTTGTTGATAAATATGTATGAGAAATAGAAATATATTCCGCATTGTAATACGATCGTGCATTATGTTTAGTTTAAAAATTATAACTAATGACAGTTTACTCTTCAATATATGTACCTGATTATTCTACTACAGCAAATTTATACCTTTTTCCAAGAGGTTCATTTCATCCAGAGCCATCAAGAGACCCATATGTTCATAATAATGACCAAGAATTACGTAAACTGAAACATACATGCGTCATTCGCGTTAAGAAAATCACGCCATAGTCGGAACTCCTCTTTCCGGTTTTTTAGTCTATTGCGTCCGCTTTATCGAGGCGTGCGATTGCTAAAAACCGGTCACGTTTTATTTTTAGAACTCGGTCTCTTAATGCGTTTAAATAAATGCATGACTAATGAGACGAGTAGCATGCAGTATCTATTTACTAGTCTGGGACACTTGCTCTTGTAGTATGCGGGTAGTTTCCCATGCAGGTTTCATTCCGTCGTACCGCGATATAAATCAAGGTACTGAAATGCGGGTAGTCTATTTTGAATTGTACAAGTACAAGATTGGGGAAAAAAAGATATGTTGTCGACGGAGCTGAACTTTCAAACTAGAAATGAAAACTCGCGTGAAAGGAGATTAACGTTAGACGGCAACTTGTGCTTTGAGATGAGTTGTCAATGATGAGAGACGCACCAGCTGGAATTTGTCGATTTCTTTTCGACAAATGTAATGTACAAAAAAATTATTGCTTAAAAATAAACATTTATTATGTTACTCACTTCGCGTGTCCCGATACGTGTCTTTAACATGCTCATGAAAAGGATTTTTCATGTGCGTGACATGATAAGGTTCATTCCACGCGCGACAATAATTCACAGTAATTCCAGCCGCTTCGAAAGACTTTAGGATGGTTGTTGCGACCGTGGACATTTTATTGAACTCAAACATCGTTGAATTCATGTACATAAAAGTTACCTGGACAATTTTATTGTTATAAAAATTTATTTATTTATAAAAATATATATTAGATTAGTTATAATATATTAGTTATAATAGGTAAAGTGCTGTTTTTTTATTTAATTTTTTTTATTTTTAATATCAATAGATTTTTTTATCTTTAATATCATTTAGAAATGCGGTTATCAGAATACTTACTTTAGTCCAATTGAAGGCCAACAGCACCGAAACGACGGATTTTGAGATCTGTGTATCGGGAGGTCTCGTTCTCACGAACGTCGAAAATTCCTTCTTATTCGACGTTTCGTTATGCGTACAAAACTAAAAAAACCCAAAAAGTTAGTAAACGTTTTGATTTAACCTTATCCAGTTATATCCATATGTTGACAATGCAGTATATATGCAATTCGACATATTTATACTTTACTAAAATCTTGAATATATTTTATCATATGGTTCGCTAATGTTGGGACCAAATTATATGTTGCATTACCAGATTATGTCGAAACAAGACGATTGCGAAGAACACCAGAGACCATTTATCGTGATACATGCGGTATTTTTCAACTCAAATGGAACACTGAGCAAACTGGCAAATGTATCGCACGAATATTCTTCGTAAAGATTTTATCTACATGCCATAGGTCAAGTATTGTACATATAGAACACTTTACGCTTATTTATATTTTTAGAAATCTGTTTTTAGTGAACAGTTAATAGTGAATAATTCTTAGATCATAGATACTAATATTTTTATATGTGTAATAATTAGGGTTTTACTCGGCACGAAATATATTTTAACTTTTACATTAATTTACATAAATATTATTATTGATAATTTTATCAACTGCTATCAGATTTTAATAAATATTTGAAAGATTTCTCTCTCTCTCTTTCTTTCTTTCTCAAAAGCATTTGTACATTGAAAAAAAATGGTTAATTAACTAACAAATAAAATATAACTTAAATTTAAAATGTTTTTCCGATTTCTTCAATATGTATTTAAATTAGCTAATAAATAAAAAGTCGCGTTTCTGGTGTCTTGCCAGTTTCTTATTGTCAGTTTATAGAAATGCATCTACAATAGAATCAAAGAAAGATTGCGTAACGAGAAGAGCTTGATATGCATACAACGCTATTCATAAATATTTCTATAGAATTTCTATGGCAGTCTTACGCAGATTACATACGGTGTTACGTAATGCAGAATTCAAGGATAATGTAGACAGAAGAAATTTTATTATAAAAGCAAAGGAGTTTTCAATTTCAAATGCAAAACACGTCGGTATATATTTCACTCGCTACAACAGCTCCCTAACATTAAAATGATGCGATAAATTATTACGTATGATATCATGGGGATGTTGAATGCGGCCGCCATTCTGCCTTCGTGTATGCAAGTCTCCTGCGGACCGACGTATGCGCTAACGTTTTTCCTCCATAGATCCGCCGTCATCAATATGCTGAGTTCCTCCTCGCCAAAAGTTTCGGCAACGAGAAAGTCCAACTTATGCCCTCGTCTACCAAGCTCACCAGCGTTCACCTGCATTTCGAGCAAATTGGCTTCAAGCAAAACACTTTGAATAGAGAAATCGAGAATTGGTAAAAAGGAGTGTTTAACTTTATCGATTATGCTGATAGAAATAGCTTGCGGTTAAACGTTAATTCCATTACTTACTAATTAATAAAAGCTATTTTCAAAATTTTCTTCATTAGATTTTAAAATCTGATATATTCTAATCTACATAACGATGATTATTAATAATAAATTTTTAGAGAGAACGATGCGCTCTCCTCTTTTTATCGACCGCAAGCTCTTTCAATTTCGCATAATCGACATTTAATCGTGTTTCCGCGTGATTTGAAGTGTTAAATTTAATTATCCGTTTCCGCAGTACTGATTGCGGTCGCTCTTAACGTAAGTGGTGTGATTGAAGGATGTGATTACTCGCCTCCTCGACGGCGAGAGTGATGGCGCCAGATATTCGGAAACCGGGTCGGGAATATTCAAAATCCTCTCTTCGTCGTTTCGAACCGGTGATGTACCCCAGAGTGAAGGTCTCAGCATCGACGCGCTTATCATTGAGCAAAACTTGAATCACCATCAGAAGCAGACACGTCCTTTCCACATTTGTCAGTAGCATGCCCAGCTGTGCGAAGCCTTCCCATGAAAAATATTGTCCCATATGAAATATATTGTATAAGCTTCAAGTTTTAGAAATTGTTTAATATATTTACTGGTATTGTTATTATAATATATTGGATAATATGTGAAAAAGTATTCTTATCACAAAAGTTTTATTTAAAATTTCCATTTATAATCGGATCGAGATGATTTTTCAAGATTCGTATAAGCGGATTACCATGCAACAAGAGATGATGAGATCGGATTTCAAACTCATCTTCATGTACTATGTCTTATTTGATAAGCATCTTGACTGTATATGATATTGAAAAATAGATCGTTAAAAAAATATTAAAAAATATATAATTTCTATTTATATTTTAAAATAATAATATATTATTTTTATTTGATTTTAATATACTATACAATTTTTATTTGCGGAGTTGAAAGTAAGGTGCTGATGTATAATGTGTTTTATTATTATATATATATATATATATATATATATAGAACGTGTATACAATTTACGTAATTTGTGCATAACATCAACATCTAGTTAAGATAATTTCACAATTAAATTTATATTCTCGCGTTTAATCCGAAAATTAATTTATTAAGCAAGGCTTGCAGTATTCTACACAAAATCAACTATATAGAAATGGTCGTTTGTCTTTCGTCCATTAAATTTATCGGTAAGAGCATGAGTTCAGCAGGTAGATGTCTGTAATGTGGATAATGGATGAAACCAGTAAGCTCCACGGGATTGCAATAAACCCCATCAATCTCCCATGGTGTACCTAACTTCCTCCTCGTCGACATTTTCTCTCCGTGCTTTTGTCCAAGATACTTGGAATTTCTCTTCTTGGTGACCTCACTCGTGTATGCATGCCATCAATTTTGTAAAAATGAAATTGTTCGCTTTCACAAACATAATTATTTTTTAACATTATATTTTATTGCACCTTATTCTTTTTTTATTTCACGTTGTCGAATGTTGAATTGAAGCCTCTCCTCTTTTATCCCGGAGAAAACTATCGCGGTTGAAAAAAATCTTGAATAAATTTGATGCGTATTTTTTAGCCGCAATAAATGCGGCCATTCCCTAATTCCCGACACGCAATCGCTTTCTTTAAAACGGCGAGGAAAAGCGTAACGAACGAAGTACTCTGAAGTTTATTGCCATGGAGGCTCATAAAGCTCCCCGAAAAAAATGATGCCCCATGCTCGGCATTGTGGCATGTGACGTGTCACGGTACATGCGAGCATGTCCGGATCCAACGTTTGTTTACTTCAGAAGGACCCTCGACGTGCGGTGCGGTGCGGTATCTATTGCAAGATCAACTCTCGACAGTTCTCGAAAGTTTGTAGACGTCGAGAGACCACGTACTCTCTTCGAGACTCATTATATTAATAGCGGTCTATTTTAATAACACGCCAAAATCGCGGGGTCGTTGGACAAAGCGTGTCTAAGTGGTTTTGGCGAGGTGGTATTGCGTAACGACGTCAAGGCCAGGCGATATCGTCATCGGGAGAGTGCCAATTGCGCGAAAGAGGCGTCTTTGTCGCATCGAATCAGGAATCGATTGATTGATAACTCTTTGGTTAAAGTTTATCCCAGGATCCACGATACGGGCGAATTTCTCTGGAACGTGGATCGTGGGAATGCCGCGATCACGACCGCGCATGTGCGCGGCTTCTCACGGACAAATTGCAAATTTACCGATTCATCAGTCTTCCCTACCGGGGGGGGGAGGGGAGGGGGAGAGGAGAGAGGGAATCGGGAAACCAACCGAGAAGCATACATAATAAAACGTCACGCGAGATAAGAAAGGTAATTCGAGGGAAGAGTGCATGCCGCGCCGCGAAGTATCGCACGCGGCTACGCGTTTGTCCAAAGGCAGCGAACCAATTAACCCCAACGTGCTGACCATTCGTTTCTTAAATTACCCGTTGCACCGCTTTCACTGTTTACGAGTGTCCATATTCGCCGACAGTTGCAAATTTCCTTCTAGTAAAAAAAAATATATATATACCTTATTATCTTATCGTGTTAGAAACGCTGATGTTGATAAAATAACTGATAAAATCGCGAAAAGTAGAAAAATTGAAATATTGAAACAATATTGGAATTCATATTATCGATTTAGTAGTTTAAAAGTAACATGTAAGTATTAACATACTGTGCATAAATAAAACATATCAAAATCGAAAAATCGAAAAGATTAAATAGATTTTTTTGCGTATATTTTCATATTTTCAAGCTGTCATTAACTTAACTTTTTTTGTACTTTCCGATGCACTTTGCGAATATTTTGATTGGTCCTTCTTCTTTGGATCTTGATTACACCTGGATCGTGGCAAACGTGGCTAAATTTTATACAATATCTTTCGCAGAAAAACGTTTCGTGAGGTTTTAAAGCGTATACTTTACGACCTCGATTACTTACGTTCTCAGGTGACAAACTGCGGATCTGTCATCGTTTAATCTTAAGACCTGCCGACTTTTGACAGTCAATTCTCGTCCCCGTCAAAAACGTAGCGCGGCCAGCTCGTACACCCGATTGCATTGCAATCGACAAATTAACGAGCCGGTGCAGCCTCTGAATTAATGCGGTTAACGGAGAGCGGATACCACTTTTTTTGAAACTTTACCCGATGAAGCTATATAACTAAAAATTTATTCGCCAGTCTTACTTACACCGATCACGCGAGTTTTAAAATCAACGCAATTAATACGTTTATGCTAAATAATTTCATTCCTGTTTAGATAGAAAAAATCATATGTCGTTTATATCATTTAAATTCACAAGTTCTATATCTTGATATGACTAACTTATTTAAATTCTTTTAGGTCTTTAATATTAATTAAATTGTATCATATTTATTAAGCATACTTATTTTATTACTATTTTACATATATTTTTAATATTTTATATATAAAAAAATGGAAATGAAATTAATAGAAAATAAAATCGCACTGTTTGATACACAAACCAAAGCTTTTTCTTGATCAGAAAACTTTTATGAAGTTCGTACAAGTATTTTAGTTCCAGGGATAAATAAAAAAATCAATTAATCAATGTTTTTGATTCGGCTTTCATTCGCGGTGTTCGCAATGTGATGAAACTTTTTGTGATTTATTTGACCACATAAACTGATTAGTCGAACATAATGACGTTGATTAATAGCGTGCGAGTACATACTCATTTAAATAAAATCTGCATCATTGTAAAGACATTAATATCGTGTCAGTAGGCATTATGCTCGTTGCTCAGTGAATAAAGTAATCAAATATGCACATCTGATTGTCAAACGCGCTGATTACATCCAATCCCGCAACATCCAATTCCTTGCCATAATTAACGTATTCGCGGGCGCACTCAACCTGTTAAATGCCTCGCGCTGTATTAATTCTACTTCCACGTGCTGCATATTATTTCGTGTTACGTGGAATAAAATTAAATTAATAATAATCATATCGACGGCGCGCCCGACGCGTGTTTCGACGCCGTTGTTCCCTCGCGCATTTACAATTAGCGAGATATACATCACGATGGCCGGCTCGTTAAATTCGTCGAAAGATGTTTTATCGCATCGACAAAGAAGTTATCTCTCAATTTATCAAATCAACGAAGCGCGCGCGCATAAAACACGAACGTCAAATTTCGTTAACAAAGCGTTACGCCGCAGTGTTACGGCGCGGAAGTGAGATAACTGTTTTTAACGAAGTGCACCGAAGTGGATCTATCATCTACCGTTTATCCGCCATATCTGTAAAAATATTCTATTTTGATTTCGCGCCTGTTCGTTGCGCGAAAGTAAGCAACACGCGTACCCGCGCGTCGACGGAAGCGGTATTTACGTATTGAGTCACGCGGACGGCGCTCCAGGGTTAAGCCGACAGGGCGGAGAAACTTGCCCGGAGGGTGACCGCGCGGTGAGAGAATTTCAACTTCGATTTACATTTTGTTGCGAAACTGGGGGACGACGACGCAACGCGAGCTGTTGGCGATCGCGCCCGGGCGTTCCTCCCGGATCGACATTTTGACAGCGAGCCCGACGGCGCGCAAAACTCGTGACGCTAATTACGATTGACTAATCCGGTCCGCAAGCGTTTTTTTTTCACTCCGCGTAACATGCACTACGTCGCTTGAAAGAGGGAGAGAGAGAAAGAGAGAGAGGGAGGGAGAGGGCGCGCGCGCGCGCGAGAGAGAGAGAGAGAGAGAGAGAGAGAGAGAGAGAGAGAGAGAGGAGGAGGAGGAGGAGGAGAGAGAGAGAGAGAGAGAGAGGAGAGTAGTAGT